GATTATCATACTCTGAAAGTGTTCTGAATTATGTATTTGGTCATATTTTCAAAAATAAACATTGATTTGAAATTATAAATATTTTTAGTTTTTAAAAAAAATCCCGGACTCAAAGGGTTAAGGTTGTTCATTCTATTGTATCTTCTATGGTAAATGTTCGTCATAAACTTGACATTCAACATAATCTTTAGTCAATTCCCATACCTATGCAAGACTCAAATCTGTATCATATTTAAGATTTAACGACAAATCTACATCATCACTTTCGTTTCTTTTATAATTCAGAACTATTTCATTAACTTTTTAGTGTCTTCTATGGCTTATGTATAAACTCGATTGGTCATTGTTTGATGGTGGTGGATCAAAAGTCTTTCGATTTGATAAAAATAATGAAAAAGTTGAATTCTATAAACATGTGTCATTTAAAGAATCAATTCATGCAACTGAAATAAATAATGTAACTCATATAAATTTATCACCAAGAAAACAAGTAATAAAAACAAACGTTTCTTTTTGATTATTTCTAAGAAAAATTTGTTTGTATAGATTGATATAAACGGTGAAAAAAATTCGATTTTATTTGATGATGATCAAATATTATTAAATACTGATAAATTTTATTTAAAAAATCATTCTTCTATTGATTTTACAAATTTACAATCATTCAAATTTGATAATGAAATCAAAACTCGTGTTCATCTTGATCGATTAAGTTCTCAATATGTATAAATATTTTTTGAAAGATTTAATTCTTTTTGTCGAATTTTTTTTTTGTTTTGTTCTTTTTAGATTCATAATAAAAATTTAAATCTAACTGCAACAAATCAATTAGCAATATTAAATATTACTCATGCTTTTTTCTATAGTCAAAATTTAGTATTAGAAGCGAATAGACATAATCGTCGATCAACACTTCGTTTTAGTAATTATCCAACACAAAAAAAATTTTTTCATCGTCATCATCATCAAGTATTTTCAATGCTTTTTTTTTCTTCATTTCATTTAATTATATTTTAATAGAAAATTTCACATGAAAATATGCATTTCAAAAGTGATTCTGTATTTTTCAATTTACCTCGATTACCATTAATAGGCAATACACATCGCAGTGAATCAGGCATTTATCGCATATGCATTTGTAATACAACATTTTTATTGTTACGCAGTTTTGCTCATCAAGCATGTCCTTTTTGTTAACAAATTTTTTATATTTGTTTTAGGTGCTTTTACCTTTCTTTTTTATATATTTGTTATTTGATTTTGTTTGTTTTTTTTTTAATGCATGTAATATTATCTTAATTGATATTCTTATATCACTGATCGAAATATTGTTCACTATATTATTGAGGTATGATTGCCGTTACAGTTGAGTTTTTTTAATACTCTTTCATTGCACTACTTGAATTGTATATGAATAGCAAATGTATTCTACCAAACTACCGTTCACAGTTACATAGTCAATTATCACATGCTCATATCAAAAAATTAAACTGCAATAAAACTTTTTTTTTCAATACATTAAACCAGCAATGAACGTCCACAAAAAAACATTGTAGAGATTTAGTACCACCAATTTAGCATGGATTTTTTCGACACGCATTTGGACTGGAAAACGGTTTGACAAAACAATGTGACTGATATAGATTGTAATAGAATTTATACGTAGCCAAAAGAATGGAGCACCGATCAACCACTGACGAACATCAATCACCTGAAGAGTGTGGGTGTGGGTGTATGTCTTATCGCATACACACACCCACACCCAGAGCTCACACCCACACGCTGCATAGAACAAAAAAATTTCTATTGAATAAAAACAGAGCTTATTCATATACGAGTCAGTCCATATAAACCACGATCGAACTTGCTCAATCGAAGTCGTTAGATTATACTCAATTTAGGATGTGTTGCAGAAGTAAGAATTTTGACTCAAGCCTTTCGAAAAAACATTGTTCTGTTCTCAATATATCTAATATTTTCTGAGGACATTATCTCCAAAAAAGTACATTTTCTGTAATTTTTTTTGGTGATAGTCATATCGCACCAATAGAACATCCGTTTTGGCTGGAAATTTTCACTGTGAATACATATCAAGTTGATGTAATTATTATAAAAAAAATAGGGTGGGCGCGTGGATGTTGTTTAAGAGATGATCAACACACACACCCACATCCACACACCTTCCCCTACCCGCGCCCACCTGATGAGTCATGCTCTTCATCGTTGTCAATATATTACAATTTTCATTGGTATTTTTTGATGATGGAAGAGCTACAACAGATAATGTTGATAAAATTTCCGGTGCTAAATTAAAATGTCTAGATACATGTCACATATTTGATTGATTTCTTTTCGTTTGTGACTTGATACTCTTTCCTTCATTTTCCTATTGCTAATGAGACAATCGACGAACAAATTATCAACACGTTCTCTATTTTCTTTTCTCCGAACAATAACAATAGATTGGCAATTCGATGGTATCGATTAAGTCCCATACTACTTTGGTATATGTCGAGTGATTATATATATGGTTATAGAGAAAATTTGAAAGGATCAATTAAAATGGGGTGTGGGTGGGTGTGGGTGTGGTGGTGTGGGTATGTGGGCGTAGGTTGGTGTGGGCGTGGGTGGGTGGGTGTAGGTGGGTACGGGTGGGGTGCGGATGTGTGTGGATCTGTTCTCAATTTACATACACACACCTACACCCCACATCCACCCACACCCTGTTCGGGAACGTCCGATTTATTACAAACATATAAATATTTGACTTTAGCACAATTCACTCGCATTGTATCTCTTGTGAAGTTGTGTGTTACTCTTTGTAGAGAACGATAAGAGATAGCAAGATGAATATAATTTGATAGACAACTTTTCGTATTAATAAGCAATTGTTCAATATAATCATCATGAGCACTTGAGAGATCTAGATGAATAAGATGAGAATATTCAATGATTGGTCAATTTTGATTATCTTCATTTCGTATTTGCGATGATAGATTTTCTATAATCAACATTTGAAGAAATGGAAATGCTTTAGCAATTCGGATAAAAAATTCATATTCAAAAGGACGTTCATCATACAGTAAAACTCTCTGAACAAATTTGAATAATCCACCTGGAAAACTATTTGTAAGATTGTGATAATATATCATTCTAGATGGATACGAATATATATGACATTGACCAATCTTTTCCTTTGGAAAATAATCGATATAAGAAATAATTTGATAATTTTTAAGATCTTCAAATGTACGTTGAAGGTCTTCATTTGATGGTAAAGAAATCGAATAATCAATCAATATATTTGAATGGATACTAAATATGAACTTCTTTAACTTTGACATATGACAAATAATATCCTTCTTCAAATTATTTCCATCAATAAATGTTTTACCATGGCTACAAGGACATATCGAAGTATACAAGGAAAGTTCTTCTAGATTCGACATTCGATGTAGGAGAGACACAAGCGATTCTTCGTAAAAGCCTATGCCTATATCACAAGTTAATGAAAAACATTTTAAATTAATTAATTCTGTCTAGAAAAATAAAAGAATTTTAGTGATTCTTTTAAACAAAATAACCCATTTGTTAGGAATTGTTGGCAATGGAGGAGTAGACATAAAAACATTGACATAGAATGTATG